ATATATATATATATATATATATATATATATATATATATATATATATATATATATAACAAGACACGATCACAAACATGATACGTAACAAAAATTAAAAAGAAAAACTAAAAATGGCTTCAGAAGTTGTGGTGGTTATGGTGCCCTTCGTCGCACAAGGCCATCTCAACCAGCTCCTCCACCTCTCCGGCCTCCTCTCCTCCTACAACCTCCCCATCCACTTCCTCTGCTCCGCCACCAACACCCGCCAGGCCCGCCACCGTCTCCACGGCTGGAACCCCAACAATCTTATTCACTTCCACCAACTCCCAGATCCTGAATTCACCTCCCCACCACCAGATCCCAACTCCACCACCCAATTCCCCACCCATCTCCAGCCTTCCTTCAACTCATCCCTCCATCTCCGCCGTCCCGTCGCCGACATCATCCGCTCCCTCTCCCACACAGCCACAAGAGTCGCCGTCGTTCATGACTCTCTAATGTCTTACGTCGTTCAAGATGTCAAATCCATACCCAACGCCGAGACCTACATCTTCCGAGCTCTCTCCATTTTTTATGTTTTCTGTTTCCAATGGGAAAAACTTGGAAGAAAGCTGCCGTTTGAAACCCACCTGCTACACCGGCTGCCAATGTCTGCCGAGAGCATGACACAAGAATTCATGGAGTTCATAAAACTTCAGTACTCCCATCAAACGATTCATGTTGGAAATTTATATGATTCATCGAGAGTTATCGAAGGGAAGTTTCTTGAATTACTAGAGAAAGATTCGATAAACGGGAAAAACCATTGGGCTGTGGGACCGTTTAATCCGGTGGATATCCAATCGGAAATCTCAGATTCGTGTCGCCGGCGGCACAACTGCTTACAGTGGCTAGACAAACAACCGGAAAAATCCGTCGTTTTCGTTTCTTTTGGCACCACAACTACGTTCACCGAAGAACAAATCGGAGAACTCGCCGTCGGATTGGAGAACAGCGACCAAAGGTTTTTGTGGGTTTTGCGGGATGCTGATAAAGGTGATGTTTTCATGAACGACGGTGGTCGGAGGGTGGTGCTGCCAGAAGGGTTTGAAGAGAGGGTGGCGGAGAGAGGATTGGTTGTGAGAGATTGGGCACCGCAGTTAGAGATTTTGGGTCACCGGTCGACTGGTGGGTTTGTGAGTCATTGTGGATGGAATTCTAGCATGGAAGCCATGACCGCCGGAGTTGCCATCGCTGCGTGGCCGTTGCATTCCGATCAGCCACGGAATGCGTTTCTGATGGCGGACGTTTTAGGGGTTGCATTGATGATGAAGGATTGGAGTTGTAGAGATGAGTTGTTTACATCTGTAATGGTGGAGAAGGTGATTAGGAAGTTAATGGATTCGGAAGAAGGGGAGGCGATAAGGCAGAGGGCGGCGGAGTTGGGTGGTGAGTTGCGGCGGTCAATGGCAGAAGGTGGCGTTACCCGTAATGAATTGAACTCACTTGTTTCGTATTTTCGTAGGAGATGAAAAAACCTCTTTCAAAATTACCGGTTTACTAAATACTTAGTTTGTAAGTGCTTGTCGAAAAAATTTCCTTATTGAATGAACATGAGAAAAACCAAGAATTTTATCGGATAATAGCAATGAAAAATAAAGAGAGTCTTACCTGGTAAGTAAGGATGACGACTCTTACCTAAGTAAACATTTACCCAGTAACTTGGTGCATTTAATATGTTTTGATGTACTAAAATTTTACGTATCAAAATAAATTATAATATTGAATCCTATCGATAATAACTTATCGTGTAAGTATTTGGGTAAACGACCCTTATTCTTGCCTCGCTAATAAAATTAAGACATATACGATTTTTCATTTATTTAATATTTATTTACTTTCCGCAGATTTGTATCCATTAGTTAATATGTAGCAAGTTGCATTACGTTGCTAGCGACGTCGTATTTGGCCCATTTTTTGTTTGTCGTTCATTTTGATATAAAAATGGTGCAAAGACTACACTTTCTAGTTTCTACGCTAAAATGGAATATTTTAAATATATATATATATATATATATATATATGTCTTTTAATTATTTAGATTTTTATTACTATTCTTATATTTATCAGTGTTAAAACAACATGCATTTGTGACATAATATAACATGCGTCACGTTCATGTTTGTGTAAATGATGGTTCACATCATGATGCTGATGTGGACACTTTTTTTTATAAGTTAACCGGTTTTTATGCCATGTAAACTATATCTATGTTTAATATAGTGTTGATATGGCAAACAACTATTAATTCTTTTTTTTTTAGAAAACATTTTGTAACTTAAAGAAATTTTACAATTTTTTTGAATAAGACTAAAAGTCTGGAACTACAACTCCACCAATGACAATGTTGATGACTCGAACTCTTAACTCAAACAAGTATGGTTGCGGATATGCATGAAAATGGGACGAGTAATGCATCCCCGTCCCTGACCCTAACCCCCGTTCAAGCCCCACATCCCCAACCCCGCCCCGATTATTCCCCAACAAGTTCACGGGGGAAGGAATTTCGAATGGGTTTGGGGAACTGGCTGGGTGTCCATTTAGCAAAATACAATAAAAACAATTTATTTTGAAATTAAAATGATAATGAACCATCACTATATTAATTACCAATATTGAAAATCAAATCTATTTGTCATTTAATAATAAAGTCATAGGGTCATTTGAGAAGCGCTAAATGTGTGAGAATTAGAAAAATGATCCTACCCCTTCATTTGAAAAAAAATTGGTTAAGATTTGTGGTTTTGGCAGTGAAGCACCGGATAATTATGTCGCATGATAACATCTATGTGGAAGATAGATGGTAGTTTCCTAATTTTTACAAATAGGCAACAACAAGTCCATATGTGAACATGTGTGATTTATATATGAACTATAGATCATATGTGAACTAGTGTAATTCACATATGAAACCGTATGATTCACATATGAACTATGTAACTGATCATATATTAACCTGGATGATTTACACATGAACGATTTAATTGATTCATAGATTAAGAAGTTTGAGAACCTAGAATTACGATATATGGTTGAGAAGGAACCGATAGAAATCAACGATAGACTCGTTAACGGGATCGAGATCGTATATCGCCGACCATACTTCTGTTGTTGTCTTTGATGAGGACGATGAAGTGATCAATAGCTAACAGGATCGATCTTGATTATAGCCACCACTTTTTCCAGTTACCATATTACCCTTCATTTAAAAAATAGTCAAGATTTGCGAGTTTGACTATGAAGCAACAGATAATTGATCATTTGATTCAAGGACTAGGATCACTTCTCTACTTCTCAAAACACTTAACAATTCTCAAATGAACCTCTCCGTAATAATAAACGTATACATATATACATATATTCAATTTATACACATTATATACATGCATCAAATAAAATAAAATAAATTAATCAATGTTAGATTTAGGGTTGGTAATGCTATCCCCAACCCCACCTTGGACCCGCTTCGAATATGAAAATAGATATCCATCCTGTTTCCCGCCAAAGCCCGTTAAAATTGGGTACCCCTACGGGTAATTTTCAATTTTCAATTTTCAATCTTTTAATCATTTTTTCATTTTATACTATATCACATTTTAATTAATTAATTTAATTCATTAAATGTCTATTGTAAAACCCAAAATTTTAATTATATAAAATATAATATATATATATATATATATATATATTATACGAGTCTTTAAATATAT